ATCACGTTCCAGGATGTTTCTTTAAACACTGGTAGAACCACTGAGCAAGAATCAACGACAAACTTCAGAAACTGACAAGAAGGCAATGCAACAATTCATGAGCAGATATGACCCCTGTGTTCTACAGGAACAAGACAAGCATCTGTTCCAAAATATCTGCAGCCTCCTCAGCTGACAAACAGAGGAGGCTGTGACTTCTACACTGCTGTTATACATTGGTCGCTGTCATCTGAACTTACAGACCTGGCTCTACAGCACTTGGACTTTACATGGCTACTCATATGTGTCCGGCCTGAAACAGAGTATATTTGGAAGTGAACCTCTCCACACTCTCCCCCTCCAGAAACTTCATGGCTCTCCAGTGGATCTTGCCACATTTCTCTGGCTGTCCGAGGGGCCCCAGCTCCTCCTGTATGTACTGCAGCCACAGATCTTCAAAAATATAAAAATGGCTCAAATTAAAGGTGGTTCCGATCGAATAATATGACACTCAACAAGGGTTCTTCAGCTTCTCATACATTTTTCATCGTCCAGGAAACCACACTTCTAGTTTGTGTGGGATCCAGCTGTTGCTTTGATCAATTTTGAACCTTTCACTCTCATTTTCACAAGAGGTTTGAGCTTTTATCTGGTAAATAACTTGACATTGACAGGTATTTAAAATAACAGCACCTAGAATAAACATTTTTATCTAACACTACCAGGGTTTTCCCATTTTCAGATGGCTCAGGCACTTCTTTTAAACAACATGTTAACATACTTACAGTATATTTATAACATTATTTATGCAATGTCAACAAACTAGCTTCCTTGGCTAACATAACTTAGCAAATTCAGTAGGTGTTAGCTACGTTAGCAGTTTCTTTACTTGTAAAATAGACTCCATTCTGCTATCCCTATTGTTACCAATCACAAGAAACACAACAGCAGGCTAACCTCATCAATGTCTGTAACTACTGTCCTGAGTTGATGGTATAGAGCAATATCCAATCAGGGGTTTGATTAGCTCGGCAATGCTGCCAATCACACAAATGTTCACACAAACACTGATTGTTGATTGACAGGTCATGTCACCTTTTTTAAATTTCTTTGGCTTAGGTGCTCAGCAAAAACACTTAGGTGCTGCGCCCTAGCCTTTCTATGGTAGGCAGACCCCAAATACTTTTCCACTGGACTCATTTAAAGTCCACTCACCCTCATCTGAGGTGCCAAACTCCTGCAGGACTCTCTCATAGTAGTCTCTCAGATTGTTCATCTTTGGATTCTCCTGGAAGAACAAGCAACACTGCTGTCAGAGCTAAGGGTTGTCCTGTCTTAACTGGTAATATAAATAACATTCAAGGCCTCTGTCTGTCCCCAAGATGTCTCTTTTTGGCAGGATTAAAAGTCTCCCATAATAATGTGTCAACAAAACTATCAGTGAAACCAGGATAAATGGATCCATGTAAATCGGTGTCAGATCAAACTGTGTACAATTGTGAGTTTAAGCTGTTGCATTGTAATCTGTTCTTGGATATACATACTTGCTCTTTCTCGATCTCGATCATTCTGGTGAAAAAGGCCTTGGACAATGGACGGTTTTCCTGCAAGCTACAGAAGCAGGAAAAAAGTTCTTAGACATACTCGTGATCTCGAGTTTATTTCACATTAGCACCAGTGTTTTCAGACCAATAAAAATGTGTGTTCCTTTTATGTTCTCATTTAAATTAAGGACTATTTGAGCAGCCAGAGTTATTTGTTTTTACCTTGTGAAGGTCTTCCTAGCTTTCTTGTAGCCTCCAGTGGAGTAGGACCAATCAAGGTAGCTCTTTTTCATCTCTATGGCAACAGCCGCTACCGGCGACAGCAGACCTCTCTGGGAGCAAACAAGAGAACAAACTGTCTGAAAGACATCCTCGTTTCACAGGCCAAAAAACCATGCAGATGGAAAAGGACTGTAAATGTCTCCTCCAGTATGTATCAGCAGGCATTATCCAGAAAAGCACTGTATCTGTATACAATATGTACCAGAACAGTAACACGGCTTCTGCACAGTTTTTCACTTTATGGTGCCATTAATTTTCACTTTGTGCTTTTCCAAGGTCATCAGCAGCATGGTTGGACACACCACAGTTTTACTGCAGATGACTTCATAGGTGAATCCCAATCCCCCTAATTGCAACCATGTTTCCCTCACTTGTGTCTTAGTCCCACCTATGTAAGACGCAAGGAAAGGATACAAGGTGAGGAGAAAGGAATGAGGAAATGCATTATAACTGACATGGGATGTCCTTTCCTTGATCCGTTATGTGAAGTGTCCAATCACAAATGGATTTCTGACAAAGGAGCGTGTCAATCCATAACAGACTTCTGCAAAGGATGCACTTCGGTCATAGCTCCTCCAGGAGCCTCCTCACTCCTCAGAACAGAAATAAGACAATTGGGACGTACTTCATCATAGTGGACCAGAACAACTTCTGGGGGATTGAGGAATGATAAAATAAGGGAACTAGGATTCACCTCATGACTTGGTTTTTGTCCTGGCTTGCAGTGTGAATTCTGGGGCTTTATACATACACAGATGTGTCTTTCTAAACTGTCAAACCATACACTCTCAAGTTTGACACAAGTGGACTCCAGCCTTGTTCTAGACACATCTCAAGGTTAATTAAACCAAACAGGATGAACCTGACCACAATCTGAAGAGCCATACAAATGGTCTGAACACTTCTGTAAATGAGAGATTTCAGTTTTTGATTTTTAATACATTTGCTAATTTCTAACCTGCTTTCATTTTGTCACCAGGAGTTACTTAGTGTAGATTGACAGGCAAAAACAGCAATTTCATCCATTTAAAAAGGATGCCACAACATAAAGAGTGCAAGAATTGAAGCGAACTCACTGAAGCGACTAAATGTTGACAAGTGAAAAGCTTCCTGTCAGTTGTCACTAAAGAAATACAACCCTAAATGTCAAAAGATGTGGGCAGTAATGACTCATGCAGCAGTTTCAAATTAACTTCTTGTCTATTTCTACCTTGAAAATGGCTTCTGTCTCCTCAGGACTCTGGTTGGCTACGCTCCACTGGACCTGCAGCTGCCAAAGTGGGAGGCTCTCCTGTCAAGACAAGACATAAAGGATTCAGCTGCATAACCTACTGTCTAGTAACCCTGAGCAAGTCGCCCTGTACTGGATGCTTGCTCAACTAGAGTTAAGCCCTTATCACCCGGTAAAGCAACTGGTTTGTTTCTAAGCAACATCCTGCTGGTCTATCGGTGTTGCACAACCTCTCCACACCGTTTTAGTTAGTAAACATATCTGAGGATTTCAAGCGTAAATTAGACAAATAACTGAAGAATTATCAAGTGAGGTTTCCATTAGAGAAAGTTTTAAATGAGTAAGCAAGTAGTTAACAAAGCACCTTGCTCTGACTGTAGCTAGCCTTTTAAAAAGCTGGATAAGACAGCATGTCCACATTTTCTTCATTCATTTATTTGTACACATTGTGCTGTGCCATGCAATATGGGAATATTTTATTGTATAACATAAAAGATGGAAAGCCTGGAGTTTTGCCATATTTCCCAATACATAAAGAGAGTGACTGAGGCAAGAGATGTGTATTCATTAGAGATTCACTGACTCCAGTTTTCTAGGCCGATTCCAATTTCTGGCTTACTCTACTTGAATACTGTACTTGAGGTCCTGCATGGGATTTCTAATCCATCCAATATTTTATACCTGAAGGCTGGTAAAGCATCTGAGGGCTAAAATGCTTAAATTAGGTTTTGCACTTGTCTTTAACTTTCCTCACATATAGAAGGGGCAGAGAAAGCCATGATGGAGTAGAGACTAACTGGGCCGAGAAGATGCCCCACTTATATAGCAGTGCTGGTGGCTGGTGTGTATATACATGTGTGTCCATTATCCAAGGAGAGCAATTATACTGGAGCATGATAAGAGCACAGCTGATGCAGTGTATGTGCTTGATGTGAGCGGAGAAAACGACCAAACGTCATATGCCTGAAAACAAATTATGTGGAACGTACAAAGGTGTGTGTACCTTGGGATTAACATGCGTGAGAGCATCCTGGAATAGCCTCCCCACGTCTCCACTCCCCAGATGCATTAGCGCCTCCAGACTCAGGCTCCACGCTGACACTGATTGGCTGTAGCGCTGCGTGGCTGCCATGGCAACCCTGGCTGCGCCCTCAGCATCTCCAGATGAGAGCAGGATCTGCAGCTGCTCACATGGAGAACATCGTATTACTTGTTTCCATACATGAGTGTGGCGGTCCTTTTGAACATTGCTAACTCTTTTAGGATAGTTTTATGTGGAAAAAAAGATAAATCAGACTCTACATGCACGTAGTACCACCCTGTACGATCACACTTGTTTTGTTAACTGTAGTTCTAAAATCAAGTGTTGTATTTTTATATTTGATTTGTGTGCTCTGTCCAAAATGATTTTGTGGATGTTTTTTGTCCTAATGAAAATGGGCAACAGTTTTTTTTTTGTCAAAAAAGCCAAATTATATTGAGCATGATTGATTTATAAAATCATTAAAAGGGTAAAACATCCAAGGGGTTTTAACAGGCACTGTATCTTACCCAGTTTTGATAATAATTCTCCTTCAGCAGTGAAGAGTCGTGGGCACGCTGCAGTACTCCGAGCAGCCTCTCTTGTCTCTGCGACACACATGAATACTCTTTAAACATCCACCTCCAAAAACACTGAAGCCACTGACGTTTGTCAATGTACATGTTTAATTTTTATCCTCAGGAGCAAACAAAGTGTCAAAGTGACATACTTAGACATGAAACATGATTTGCTTACTTGTTCCTTCAGTTCTTGGACATTGGTCTTTCTTTTCAGTCTTTCCACACAGAAGGCCACGTAACAAGTCCACATGGGCTCTAAAGCACAAAGTACAGATGCAAAAAAGCTAGTGAATGACTTTGTCAAAATGTGTAAAAATGTTTTAAATAATTAAGGTCATTGCCATAATTTCAGAAGAATGCACCGATCATAAAGTGTCTGTTATAACTACAGTATTCATTTAAATCCTGACTGCAAAGTTTTTGAGTCTCGACATATGAATTTGCCGTTTAGTAAATTAGCCCAAATTACCATGTGCAGGTGCTGTCTGTGTGTGAGCGAGCTCCTACCGGTGTTGAGGCTTGTGACGCCCTCCTCGTAGACCTGGCAGCAGCGTTCCTCTCTTCGGTTGACATCCGAGGCTCGACCTTTGGCTGACTGCAGCTCCTCCCCTACCCCCGGAGCCTCCAGCTCCCTCTTAGCCATGAAATCCCATGTCAAGCTGTCCTCTGTGTAGTTGGTCTGCAGGCTGGAAACAAGGGGAGGGAAAAAGGTACGCTGATGCTTAGTGATGGTGCAGAAAGTGTGTGAGACAGAGTGAGAAAGGAACTATTTTGTCAGTAAATGAGGGTCTTACTCTTGCAGGATGGAGTCCTGGAGTTCTTTGGTGAAGTCAAAGATTGCGGCTATGTTCAGAAGTGAAATGACAAACTCTGCCTCTGTGGGGAAAAAAAACATCAGCAACAAAAAGGTAATGTATCTGTTATTAACATGGCCAGGTATCAGTATGAAACCAATACCTTATCCTTGTCAAGTTGAAAACCACACAGCTAAATAAGCCAAATTTCTCCTGTGCGTCATCTGTGCCAATTTTGGTAAATGTATTTTAAATGGTGACAAAATACTTCAAGTGAGGTTACCACTTTTGAAAAACACTTTCTGGTATGTTTTTGATTTTTTTGCACAGAATTGAAAACAGATTTTAAAGACCCTACCTTTGATTTTTCCTGTAGCGTCTCTGTACACAACCTCAGCCAGTTTACCGCTCAGGATCTCTGGAGAGAACTCGTATTCACCCTGAAGAGTAGGCATTCAGGCACTGAATACAAACTGAACGCTTCTGTGTGTGTGTGTGTGTGTGTGTGTGTGTGTGTGAGAGAGAGAGGAGAGAGACTTTGTGCATCTCTGACTGTTCGTGTTCAATTTGTTTCACACTCACCAGGTCCATCTCAGCCATCTCCAGCTCTTGCTTCTGCTTCCTCAGCTTCTCACAATGCAGCAGCTCCATACGGAAATACTAACACACAGTTGATGGAGAAAATTAGAGGAGAACATTTGACAAATACTCTGTTACTAGTGCAGCCATCAAAAGCAGCTACCACACATTTCAAGTGATTTTTGCTCAAATTCTCATTCCTCTATACCACTACACACACACCTCACCCCTTCTCATCTCTCCTCCCAGGACTAAAGCAATACATTTCTGTTACCTGCAACACTGAAGTGATCTGTTAATTTGCACATACTCTACTCACAGAATGCTGCTCTTATTCATTTGCACACTGTACATATGCAGATACTGTATATTTATCTTATCTTTGCACTATTTATGTCCATTCAACTGTTCACTCATGTAACTTATCTTCTTATTCTGCATCCTATTGCACTAGTGTTCTGTAAACTTAATGTACATTATCCATTATTTGTAATTTGAATCCATAGTCTGTTGTATATTGTACTTCACCCTACATATCTTACTGTAAATATCAATTGTACGTATCTATCGGTAGATTAGTACTGACTGTACACGCTGTAGATACTGTGCACTCTGCACTGCTGTTATTGCACTTCTGGTTAGATGCTAAACTGCATTTCGTTGCCTTGTACTTGTACATGTGTAATGGCAATAAAGTTGAATCTAATCACTGTTCAACAAAACCAGTGAAAGATTTTTTTTCAATACAGGTTTCATTGTTTAAATGTAAGAGATTGATGCACTTTGAATAAAAAAAAAAAATCTATATTTGTATTCTTTTACCTCCTGATAGACCTTCTTGTTGTTTGGATGGAAGCGCAGAGCTCTCAGAAACAGGTGCCTGGCGCTTTCAGAGGAATCTCTATCCTCCAGCTCACTCTTGGCAGCCATTATCCACAAGGCTGAAGAAGGGAATGTACATCACTATTAATTTTATAAGGTTATAAGAAGCATGTACTTCTCTCACTTAAATGTACAAGTGATATGAATGTGAATTACAACAGCTATGAAATCACAGGTAAGTGTTCTGTACCTGGTTTGTCAGGGTGGATAGCAAGCATGGCTGAGAACACCTTGCTGATCTGGTTTTTGGTGGTCTGATGGGTGAAACCCAGGAGATATCCTTATTATAGTGAGCATACATGAGTACTTGGCCTGTCACAGTTGGACTAAAAGCAAATCATGAGACCTTTACATACCCATTTCTTACAGAAAGCAACATGTGAGAACCATAGCTGCACATCATCCTGTGGGAAACAAACACATTTCACCTTTCACTCCTTTATGCCATTAATCATTTAGTCAGTTTAAAGGTGCATTAACCAAGATTTTATACACTGACTGATAAATCAAGTGAAAACACTACAGGATGTGGTGTCTCTCATTCTGTTGTTATTCCAGCTTCTCCACCCAGTGTTTTCAAAGTATGATCTATAAATTTGCTCTACTTGCCACTTAACAAAGGTTATAAGAAGCATTTTTCAAACTGTGAGTAGTCATTTCAAACAGCCAGCCTCTTATCTGCTAGTACTATAGATACAGATAAGTTTTAAAACTGCTTCTATATCTGTACTACCGTACTTAAATGACTCTGTTTTCAGTGCTTTTAACAGACCCTGACAGAGGCTACAAGCCAAAATGTGTTGGTTTTAACATAAACTTTGCTCTCCACACTGCAGGTGTTGCTGGACGTTTTGCCTTTCCTTATTTGTTTACAAAAAGCATGATCCATCATATTACTTTCCAGCAATGATCCCATGACCCACCGCAAAAACATGCTATTGATTATTGTACATGTTTTATCACAGATAAAACCTGAGCAGATGATTATTTCTTTTAGTGTATGGTTGAGCCACTTTTCATGATGATAAATGATTGTCATTATCAAATACAGTTGAACCATGGTAATTTTAACTTACACCCGAGGTGTTGATGTTATGAATGAAGTGGTACCCCCCAGTAGGCAACATTGTAAGTATTTGTAGCTTTATAAATGATATGGATACGGTACCTTCCACTTATTTGTTGCTCTTCTGAAGATACTATTTATTCTATGGATGATGGGGAACTCGATCTCTTCTCTTTTGAAGTTGTAGTGTATGTGCTGCAAATGAAACAAGCCCAGTCAAATGATGTGACGTTATCTGTAAGCACCAACAAAAATGCTTCCAGGGTCTTCTCAAACTACTGCACTGTTATGTGCATGTTCTTAAGTAAAGGTAATGGAAACATAATAATTAGGTCCACCATAAAATAAATGAAATTCAAAGTGGGCTAAATGTCGACTTGATAAAGTAAAGTGTCTGTTTACTGTTTTCCCGCAGGCCACTTACCGCTCTCCTCTTCTTGATCAGTTCTAAAACGTTGATTTCATACTGAAAATTAAACAAAACTTAGGACGTAAGTGTTTTGAACATAACTGGTAGCCTTTAATCCTTTGTTTAAAATCTGGGGTGACCAGTTCATGTAACTGTGGTACACTACCTGGATGTACGCAATGAAGTCCTCTTTGTTTACGATCAACCTGTGAAGCTTGTATTCCAGGGCTGTTGCTCTCTTGATTATGGATCTACAGCAGCAGAAAAAAAATTACTTTGCCTGAAATACTTTCCAACACACATCACTGGGAACAAATCTTGTGGTCAAACTAAGGAGCTTTGGCCATATTTTCCAGTTACAAAGCAAAGGAATAGAAGTAACAGGAAACCATGGACAAGTTATCAAGTGGCATACATCAACACAGTATATAAAACACTAAATTGGCTATTAGTTTTGAAGAATTTGTTATTTTAGAGGGACACTACATCGTAAAGCAGAACTTTTTTGAGATTTGATTTCATTATCTAATACTAACACGTTCCCCTAAGATGGAAAGTTAGAGCCGAAATGACAATAAGACAGAATGGATGTTCTTGTTTCTCATGGTATCGCTCCGTATAATTGTGGAAACGTAACCAAAACACCAAGAACTAAACATCTCTCAGGCTGGAGTATGTCCATGCGACATCTTATCAAACTGGAGGTGTCGGGAACCCTTTGATGTTGTCTTACTTTACTTCTTTCTTAGTGAACAGTCCCACTCTCTCTAGGTGCTCCAGCTCAGGGATCCTCTCCTCGATCCGATGCTGAACAATTTCCGCCATCTTGTCGACACAGCTGTTCGACTACTGTTTACAGATCACAATTATATTTATATGAAATTTACACTGAACTACCCATATGGCTATAAGCAATGGGCTGATTCTTTTACCACCCCCCCAACACATGCGCGGAAGTTATGATTCGCTGCTTTTCCGGTTCCGTCTGCAAACAGTTCCGTACGGAAACACAGCCAAAGTTTGTCAGAATGATTTATGTGGTGTTTGTTTTTCATTGGTCATTCAGACTTATCAGTTTGTTAAGGAGTCATATACTGTAGGTCTGCTGTATAGTTTTGGTTCCCGTTACACTACCCTCTTTGGTATTAAATAACACAGTCAGATACTTACGGAAATGGTAGATTTGAAAAACAATCTCATGTATTCAATAAAATTCCTTTCAAAATCTTAAGATGCGCACGTTTCTGCTCTGTGTGTGGACATATGCTGATGAAACGTATTTTGAATGTGAATAAACAAAACTCTATTTTACACTAAAAATCATGTTTTCAACTATTTGCCTGAAAACATTCCTCTGGCTCATAAATAACGGTAACTAAAACAGATTAGTTTTTTATATATATATATTTTGAGAGCAATTGCTTTCCTCCTACGTCCTCTACTGTTATATGCATTGTTATCACAAATTTCAACATTTAGGATTTCCTTTATCACCATTTTGGCTACCTTACTGACTTGGTAGCCTACTTAGCCCTATCTATGTCCATGCTGTTTAGTGTCAATACGAGTGTAATTGTAATACGAGTGTAAATCTCACGAATAGCCTATGATACAGTATGCTTATATTATTTTAAACAATATTTATTAATACCACAAAAATATACTTTGGCAGTTAACATTCAGTGACAGAAAACCATAAATAAGGTCACTCAACAGTAATATGAGAGCTGATAACCATTAAAAAAATAGGTCAGTATCACTGGTGATTCCACTGGACAAAAACAAATTCCAACTTAGTGTTGTAGCCCTGCAATGATTCGTTGCAGAAAATATGTTCAATTTGCATTTTGCTGGTTTTTTCTATTAAATAATTCAAGGTACCAATGTGGGGTTAAATTGAGGAGTTCATAGCATGTATGCTATTTTGTACTGCACACTGTCAAGTCTCGCATAACTCAAAAAGTTGCACCAGCAGCTGGGCCGTCATAATATGAAAGCTTAAACTCGATTTCCCGCAAAATCGCAGAACGCGAGAGCGGGTTGTATGTCATCTCCGGAGGCCAATAGCCAATCACAGCGCTGGATTATATCAACCTGTCTCCCATTGGCTGCTAACTGACTAATACTCTGTTGTTCTGTACAAATCGAAGGAAACCACACTGACAATAAATTACAGCTAGGTAATTAATAATTTGGTCCAAAATACTCAAACCATCTCCGATATTAATATATATTTATGACAGGTGTATACGGCGGCAGCCTGAGGCGTACGGAGGTGTGTTTTGTAGTAAACCATGCTAGCACTGCTAGCTAACTAGCCAGCGTTTCGTTACCTCCTCTTCATCTTCATGGGTTTCTGCTGTTGAGTCTGCCAGGCCTGTGCTGGAGGCAGCGAGGCTAACAAATTAATGCCATCAGCCAGGGTAGGTTGTCTTTATTTATGTTCAATATCTACTACATGCCGATTTTAGGGTTTTCGATAACAGTAGTTAGAATAAACGAATGGATCATTAGCTGAACTACCAAGCTAGCCAGCATGTTAGCATAGTGGTCTTAGCTGAGCTAGCGCAAGTGCTAATGCGAGTATTTGCCTATTAGGTGGGCTAACTTGTTGTACTGGCACCATTTCATCTGGATTAATGTGTGGGATAACGTGCTGTGTTTCACTCGCAGAACTCAGGACATATTATGAGCGGGGCGAGTTGCAAAGCTAACGGTGCTGTGTACCCCGCTTCATCAGAAATGATGAACTCGGTGAAGAAGCCGAAGATGGAGCAGATTCAGGCCGACCATGAGCTGTTCCTACAGGCCTTTGAAAGTAAGATTTCACCGCTCGGCACGTTGTAATGCGGCCTTTTTATTTTGGTAGCATGAGAAGAACTTCCCCATACTAGCAGTAAACATTTCACTACCCGCTAAAGTTTACTGCCACTTATTTTGTTTCCACTAACGTTTTCTAGTTGTGGCTGAGAGGCCTCCCTAGTTTAACTGGCAGCTCAGAGGGGGATCCAGATATTGTTACAATTCGGTGTCAGTCAAGATACCTGCATTTAGGCAGCACTTATCAGGATGGGATCGGTAAAAACACGTAGTGTTTATCATCTGCTCAGGTTTTGTTTAGTTGCTGAGTGTTTGGCTAATCAAGCACCACCTGTTAACACAGAGAAATAGATGACAGGATACTGATGGGGAGCCAGTGTCAAAGCAAAACAGCTGCACCCTGTACAAGCTAAACTTAAGATGATTTTCCAGATTTTAGATGGTTCATAGTATAACCTAGCAAAGTTATCGAAATGTGTCACAGTGTTTACAATAAATAACATTTTAAATTTTCCCAGAACCCACTCAGATATACAGATTTCTCCGCACAAGGAACTTGATTGCAGTAAGTGAATTGCTTAACATATCCTTTTTTTGAGTCATTTTATTGATAGCCTATAGTTTTAAAATGAGTTATTAATTCATCCTTTTTTGGGGGGGTGGTCCCTTTCAGCCCATCTTTTTGCACAGGTCCCTCACCTTCATGTCTCACAGAAATGGTAGAACAAATGCCAGAAGGTACAAAGTCTGTTTTTGTTTGTCGTTGTTATATATGAACAGGGCTCCTTCTGCTATATATAAAGACTCACCTATTGGTGATTTAAATATGTTTATTACCTAGTTTATTTTCTGTCAGTGTGTTTATGAATTAATGTTACAAAGAACCTGTGCTACTTTGAATCCTTCCTCTCAGGAAAACATTCAAGGTGGATGATATGTTGCAGACAGTAGAGAAGATGAAGGGAGAGCAGGATTCTTCAAGGTAACAAAGCCCTACAATACTATATGTGCCTCTTTTTATTGCTGGATAATTTCAGTGACTAAAATACAGTAGAAACCATACTGACACGATTTATGACTTAACTATGCATTTATTAATACGTTTTTGTTCATTCATCTGTTCATATTCAGTTGGAGCTCTTGCTATGAGCCACTTTCACCTGTGCATTTTTCTTTTGGTTCTTTAGTATGTCTTCACATCTGCAGTTAACCTTCACGGGGTTCTTCCATAAGGATGGTAAGCAGACCTTACCAAGTGATTGTGTTTAGTATATTTGTATGAAGGAAAACAGTCAAATATGCATAGAAACATGAGCTGTTCAACAGCAGCACAAGTTACAGCCTCAAAGAGTGTCAGTTGAATCAACACCTCTCAAACAGTTTGAGCATAAATTGAACATTATCACTATCATGACAGGATTTATTGGGGGACTGTCATGAAACTCTTTTTGTTGTCTTACAGAAAAGCCATCTCAGAATTCAGAGAATGAACAAAATTCTGTGTCCTTAGAGGTGCTACTCGTCAAAGTCTGCCATAAAAAACGCAAGGTAAATTATTAGAGCCTCTCGCTTAAGCAAATTAATTTCATCTCCTGTCACTTGCCAGTGATTTTTTTTTTAAGTCGTTAATTTTAATTTTAATCACTTTTTTTTTTTTTTCTTTCAGGATGTCAGCTGCCCGATAAAGCAAGTGCCTACAGGTAAAAAGCAGGTGCCTTTGAACCCTGACAGTAACCAAACCAAGCCTGGCTCCTACCCTTCCTTACTGGTCTCCAGCAATGAGTTTGAGCCCAGCAACAGCCACATGGTGAAGTCCTATTCACTCCTGTTCAGGGTGTCACACACAGGGAGGAGGGAAGCCAACGGTCTGGTTAACGGAGAGGCCAATGAGAACATTGGTAGGAAATCCACGTTAAAGCCTTTAGACTTCTGTTTTTGATAACGTGCAGTTTGTGTGGAGGTGACGGATTTCAATATATGCATTTTCACATGAAATTGTCCTAGGAAACAGACTGGGACAGGTCACATTTGGGCAGCAGTAAACCTGCTGGTTGCAGTGAGCTAAGTGTTTCTCCAGGCACATCATCTTAAAGATAATATTAGATGTGACTGAGATGTTTGATGGGTGGATATGGAGTTTCTTATTCAGGTTTTAATTTTTTTTTGTATCATTTTTAACACAAAGATGTAACAGATACTCCCAGTAGAAAAAAGAGAAGTTCATCCCATAGAGAGGAGGGCGACACCACGGAGACATATGTTGCACAAATGACTGTCTTTGATAAGAACAGGTAAGGTTTTGTGATTGAAATGGTAAAATCCTTCCCCTTCGCTATTCCTTCAATGATACCCTGTCATCATGGGCTTTTATTTGTCCTCTGCAGGAGGTTGCAGCTGCTGGATGGGGAGTATGAAGTGTCGATGCAAGGCATGGAGGATAGCCCTGTGAGCAAGAAGCGAGCCACGTGGGAAACCATTCCGGATGGGAAGGTGGGATGACTTGATTGCATATGTCTTAGAAGAACCTGTGCAATAAGTGACACATCCTCTTCATGCCATCACATCACTGACTTCTGTCCCACAGAGACTGCCACCATTTGACACATTTTCTCAGGGACCCACATTGCAGTTCACACTGCGTTGGACAGGTGATGCCAGCGGAAAGTCTACCGCCCCTGTGGCCAAACCCCTTGCTACCCGCAACTCTGACAGCTCCAGCCCCATGGAGACCAGGACCAGCAACCACAGAGCTGCCCTCATGAGTAAGTAAACAAAACACCATAAGTGTAGCTTGAGCAGTTTTTTTTTTTTTTTTATAAGATGTGTGATGTAGAAATGTGCTGTTGTAGAGGATTTCTAAGAGTATTACATGGAACAATCAGTTCTTAAATTACATCCTGTAGGCAGAAAAACATCCACAGATAATGATGAAAGGGGACAGTTAACAGTTCAGTCTTCTGCTCTATTAAAAGTCCTGTAAAACTGTTCATAGTGAAAAATGAACAAAGGTGATGCCAGATTCTCTTAGCAGAGCTGAAGAGGTCATGTTTTTGGAGTTTTTACCCACTGTGACTTGTGTGGGATGTTCTATTTGTAACTGAAACTGGCAAAATACACTCTGAGTCATAACTGAGTCCCTTTCATATGTGTGCTTTGCTCAAATATGCGGGGAACTTTACATGTCTGTCACGTTTGAGCAAGGCTCTGAGTCACTCTTCATTTAGTAGGTAGCAAAATGCAACACATGAGCAAATGGGAAATGCATGAGTCATTACATGAGCTGAATTCTGTATGTCATATCTAATACAAGTTGGTAAAAATATATTGGGGTGCTTCCCTGCAGGTGTCATTGCATGCATGATGGTCATTAATTAAGTCACAGAGATTAAGGTGAAAAATTAGCTTTCAAATCCATCATGTGAGACACCCATAAAAACATTCTTCTTCCCTTTTATCATTACAACCTACACAGTTCTTTAACAGTGCTTTTGTGGTGGAGAGGAAATGGGGGTCTGCGCACAATGTGCCTAATGCTAAATATTGCACAAGCCTCAGAGATGCTTCTGTAATGGGCCTGTCATGTTTGGAAAGAGCCTTTAGTACATATACAGTATGTATATAACAGACCTGAGTTGCGTTTTAATGCCAAAAGGCCATTTCATTAATAGCTAGAGGAAGCCAGCAGTGTTACAGATTGCATGTCTGAAAGGGACTTGAGAAACAAATATATGCTGGCATTTCATGTCTTGATGTTACTGGAAAACAATGCAGTTTCTGTAATTTCTTAAGTACATGTTTATAACGTATCAAATCCACAGAGTTTATTTGGTGGTTCTCCAAGAATTAACTTCTCTGTCTGTTCCCGTCAGCAGTGAAAGAGTCAGTCAGCACAGACATTCAGACGAGGAAAGAGCAGGTTCCATGTGAGCCGCGGCAGAAGCTACGTATATTTTATCAGGTACACCACACAACAGTAAGGAATACAACTGGGTTTTGGACAATAACTCAGCAGTGAGGTGGCTAAAAAGCAAATGAGCTTTGGTCTGTTTTTTTATGTTTGTTTGTTTTTGAAGCCATTTTTCATTGATTGGAATTACTGTCACATTTTGAGACCATAGAACATTTCCACTGATTTTACTTGTTCATCAGGACTGTGATAATAGTCCTATGTGTGTGTGTGAAGCACTGGTTTGGCATAGGAATGTGACAGTAACTCTGAAGATATGCAGCACTGTTAGAATCACTCATTCACATCTGCTGTAGGTTGACTTTCTCTGCTTTACCCTGTATTAGCTAATGTCATCTGTGCTTGCTCAGTTCTTGTACAACAACAACACACGGCAGCAGACGGAGGCGAGAGATGATCTTCACTGCCCCTGGTGCACCCTGAACTGCAGCAAACTCTACAGCCTCCTCAAACACCTCAAACTCTCCCACTCCCGCTTCATCTTCAACTATGTGGTAAGACTTGGTGTGTGTGGTTGATTTCAAGCAATTTTGAAATCTACAAATGTGCCATAGCCCTAGATACTGCATGTGTGCATGTGGAGCTACACCACTACAACTCAGTTTGGCACAACAACAGGCATTAGGGGTCTTCAGAGTGGCTGCTTTGCTAGTTTAATTAGCTGAGAAGAAGAAATTACATTTCCTATAAGTACAGTGGGCACGGAAAGTTTTCAGACCCCCTTAAATTTTTCACGCTTTGTTATATTGCAGCCATATGCTAAAATC